AGCTTACCAAACTTAAAGGAGACCTGTTGGGCCCGATGTTTTAATATTTATTTGTTCATAATGTATTATTTAGTACAAAGTGCTGAGCAAAGAGCAATTTTGAAGAAAATCGATTCCCTTGTTCCAGTTATTAAATGTTACATAAAAAAAACGAATGGAAAGCGATTGTAGGGTTTCCCCCAAGGCGAAAAAAAAAATTAATTTGAAAAAAAAAAATTTACCAAAATTAATTATTAAATTATTTTATATAATTATTAAATATTTATTTTTTAGAACAATTTTAGGTACATTTGCAGTATTAAATCTCATAAATTTTTAAAGTGCAAGTTTCAACGTTTTTATTAGTTTTCCACTGAACGACCTAGGCTTTCCATATAAAAAGCAATTGCGAGCACACTTTATAAGGAAGAAAAAAAATATTAAAAATCAACGCGCGTTCTTAGCTAATTGAAACTTGTACTTTATTAGACTTTATCATTTATTTAATTTTAGTGAACAAATTTCTTGTGCATTAGAATGAATCAACATAATGGCTCTGGAGGAATATGAACAGTAAATGCCAGTTTCAAACCACTGTGTGTTCTCGGACTGTCCGCTTCATAAACCCATAAGCCCTAGGCAGACATTTAAACACCTTTCCAGGAATTAATCAGCGGAGTTGGTAATTTTCAATTAAGTTTTACTTATCAAAACACTTCGAAATTTTTTTCCGTAGTCCCATTTGCCCTCTTTCTAATCGATACTAAATAACGCCATCACACGACAAAACTAACATTTTAGCGCATTCCATAATGAAAACAACAACGAATCCTTATGGCACATCCGTTAGGTGTCTATGTCCAATCAATAGTCGCACATAACTGTCGTCTGAGCGCACAGAGTGATAAACTCATTATGGCACCTAATTGTCACATTTACGTGAATTTATTGTCATTTTCTGAAAGGCCACAAAGGATAACGACAAATGGTCAAAGGACAATCAGAGGCAAAAATAAACAAAAAGATGAAACAAATCCGTTTGCAGTGGCACTTCAGAGACATTGAAAGGTACTCGTAAATTGTGCTTGGATGTATGTATGTATGTATGTGTCAGAAAAAGGTAGCATTCGGTAGAGCGTCTTAATGATGTCTATTTGCGATACACTCGAGTACGACGCACAGCGTAGTTATGATGGTAAAGGAGCTACAAAAGGATGCAATGGCATAGATTCATGACATTTATGACTTTTGGTCTTATCTTAATAAGCGTTTAATCACAGAAGAAAAGGTACGTGTTAAAAGGTTGTAAACTGCTGTAAATATTTATAGCAGACTTTTGTACGACTGATTTTGCGTGGATAGCTCTTATCGTAAATAAAGTGAGTAAAACAAAAAAAAAGGAATCGAAGATCAGAGAACATCTTTCAGAAAAAAGTATTTATTTTGTTTGATAGCTATTAGGTTTGCATACTTTCTCCGGCGCTGAGTGCTGGAAAAGATCGAAAAATCACTGGCACGCGCATCCAATCTTTCAAATTGAGTGAAAAATTAAGGCTCCAGTCAATTGTGAACACTAAATGCCAGTTTTGAACCACTGTGTGCTGATGGGCATTTTAAGTCCTCAGGCTGTCAGGCTGAGCAGCGTGGTGCGGTAGCTGAGACCGTTAAATAAAAAAAAAAAAAACACAAGTCATTTGTTTTCGAAAGAAAGATATTGCAACTTTTAAAGAAGATGAAAGCTACTTAGCGCCAATAGAGAGCACATAGCCGGGGTTTTACTAGAAAACATATCGAAAAAAATTCGTAAATAAATTTTGTGAAAGTGTTATCTTCAAAAAATTTGTTTTAAACAGTGATCGAATGTAACAGATATTTTCGAAATTTCAATTCAAGAAGTCAGGCGGAAAGAATTTGTCCATATGATACTTGAAGCTAAGGATTTTTTTTTTTCAAAAAATTATTAATTAAATCGTTATGTTTTGTCAGTATTTTTTTTTTTTATCAAAATAACTATTAAAATTTTATCAACAGTTAAAATATCACTTTAATTTTTTATTTCCGAAGTTAAAGTTATTTTTCGATCAGAAGTAAAAGTTAAAATGTGACTTTTATTTGTTCGATCAAAAATAAAAGTTAAAATTTGATTTGTATTTTTTCATCTGATTGTTTAAGTTAGAAACATTTTATTGCCACGTATAAACAAGGTGTAAGTCGTTAGTGCTATGATAAGCAAATAAGCGATGCAATAAAATAATATGAAGATCGCTAGTAAAGTAATACAAGTCAAATAAAACTGTTTTTTGTCAACGAAAAAATAAAAGCCAAAAGTGAGCTTTCATTTCGACGCCTCCAAACCATACATGTGCTAAGTCTGACTTAGTCATAAGTCATAATAAGAATTATGAAAGTCAAATTTTAGGTGTTATTTTTGAGCGAAAAATGCATACGTCAAATTTTAACTCTTAATTTTCGATCTAAAGCATATCCGTTTAAAAAATATCAATTATTCCTTCTGGCGTCAAAAATCGCTGATCACGCAGTTTATTTTTAATGTTCGGGAAATAAAAGAAGTCATTGGGTGCCAAATTAGAACTGTACTCATGGATGACCTATAACGTAATTCGATGTTTTCGCCGGCCGAATAATCGGTTGTTTGAGCCGATGTAGAGAGCTCGCAATGTCATGTCGAAGAACGTTTCGTCGTCATGAGTTGTGATTACAGGCTTTCTTACTGGCTCATGAAGCACTTGTCATACCTGGGAGTTGCTCACTCCGACCAGTGCAGGCTGTGTTACGAGCAGAACATACAGTGGAGAGCAGAAATGAGTACACGGTGATTTTTGTAAAATATTTTCAAGGTTTTTAAAGTTAAAATTTTAAAATATGGTTCATGCTTTAACCAAAACCATATAAATAAATCAAACTTTATACAGAACTTAGAAAATTTTAACAAATTTTCATTAAAATTTCAACCATTTAATCTACAGATTACAGATGGTAGCCCATTAAATTTTAGTATAATAAAGAAATAAAGTTTTAAGCGGCTGCAAAATCGTGTTGATTTTTGGAATTTTTTTTTTTTGGTGTCGGATTTTTGCACTTTTATCGATATAAGCAAGAGTTTCTTATGGCAGAAAATGCCCATAACCGTTTGCGAAGAAAATTAAAAAAAAAGCAACGCGAGTTATTATAAATTGTACTTGTTATATAAAAAAAAAACGCAAAAGCCATCAGCAAAAAAATATTAAAAATCAATGCGATTTTGCAGCCGATTAAAACTTTAGTGCACTAAAATTTAATAGGCTACCACCAAATGCGTATTAAAAAAAATTCTAGAAAATCAGATTATAAAGTTGAAATTTTAATAAAAATTTATAATTTTTTTCTAATCTCTGTACCTCGCGAAGTTACTTAGCAATACTTGAATTAAGGAAGACCTGTAACCAAATAGAGGTTTCTTACAATAGATCATCAGTTCCCAACCGGTGGGTCGCGACCCACACAGGGGGGTCGGGGAAGGGTTACAGGTGGTTCGCGAATCGATCTTAAATTATCAGAAACTATTGAATGAACCATCAGAAAAGATAAGAAAAATGTGAGATTAAAAACATCTTCATTCAATCCTGACATTGTCGTTTTAGTTCAATTGAAACAGTCCCAAAAAGCTCATTAATATTGTATTCGTATGATTAATTCAAACAATTATTTAGTCCTTTTCAAATTTTATTCTTGATAATCCTTGAATAAGTATTTTTGCAATAAGTATTTTTTTGTTTTCAATTTTATATTAATTATACACACAACCACCCCCTCCAACTTTATTAGCTTGAATAAAAATTAAATCAATTAAAAGGACATTTTCAATATCTACCTATGCGTCCTTGTGAACCAAAAGACTTAAATTTTTTTTAAACTTTGCAGAATTTTCTGTTTCATTTGGTACCCGTTGCACTGATTGTTTCGTGTCATTTGAATTTTATTGGTTTTTGCCGCACGGTGTAATCATATCCAAACTGTATGCATTTCTTTGCCTAATATTATTTCCGGAATTTTACAGGCCATTTTAATGAAAATCAGGCATTATAGTAAACTAATTGGAAAAGTTTCGTTTAATGTGATTAGGAATAAAACAACCTATTTTTTCTACATTACACGTACTTTCATACATTACCGGCTTTGCGCGGCAACTAAATCTTATCCGATCGCCACTAAATTTTATATTGGAAGCATTAAGGCTAAAAGGAAACGGTTTCTGTCCGGTGGTTTGAAATTAATTGTTAAGGGCCAGTCTTTTGCATATATATGTACATATTTTCAATATTTAATGGTAAATTATTTATGGTAATTTTTTACTCCACCATTAACCGATGGGCCGTGGAGGTATTACGATAAGAATACGGTGGGTCGCCGGTTGAAAAAGGTTGGGAACAACTACAATTGATCATTCTTGCTCGCGGTAATCTAGAGGCACTCACTCGCAGAGGTCATTCACAATGGGCTACTACTTATTTTTCGGAGAGGAAGTATAGAACATTTCTGGATAGAATATATCAATTGCGGCAATTGCTTTCTAAAAATTAAGACGCTTTTGCTTGTTACTTGATCGGGATATTTTCTTCAATGAAGTGCTGAGCGTAGACGCCAATATTCAGACATTATGTAAGTTTACGCGCTTATTACTTATAAATTGCTTTGATTAAATATGGAACTTTTCGAGTATTTTGAATAGAGTGCTTTAGGATTCGCTATCAGCTGAAAGTAAAAAAAAAAATATTAAAGAAGCAGTTTGTGAGTTTTTTTTTTTTTTTTTTTTTATTTAAAAACTTTCAATATTTGATTGGTTTACAAATAGTTGTTTATAGCGAAAATGTGGTTCGCTTTACAAATAAATATCATTTCCTTAACTTAAAAGCAAAATAAGTATGCGTTTATACATGTGTGTGTATATATAAATATGCGTATACTATATACTAAAAGTGTAAAATTTTAATAAACTAATTTTAGTGTTTTTTTTGTGTTTTATTTTTTTTTTTGTTACAATAAAACTAGAATATGGTTATAGCCTTTAGCAGCTCTCCACTTGTTCACTTAAAAATCACATTTAATTAAATTTAGTTACACACATAAATTTAGTTAGACTTTTAGCTCAATGTGCTTCACGTTATTCATATGTATTATACTCGTATTGGATGACATAAGCATGTATTAGGATGGTCCTTAAAAAATCAACTTCATCAACTTATTTTGTTCTACGTACAATATAAATATATCCAAGAAAATTTCAAAATTTTCAAAAACAAACAACATTGTAAGTTGGGTCCCTACCACGGTTTGAAAAAATAGATATTGTTCTTTTAGATCGCGAAAATTCGACAATGCACAGCGAGCTTATAAACTCATACTTATTATGAATAAATTTCAAATCAAAGTTGAGTCGAATTTTTTTAAATTTAATTTTTTTAAAACCCTGATGGCCACCCCAGAAATTTTTTTATAATTTTGAAATTTCCGTGTATGTCTTTATTGTACACGTGTTTGCACGTAAAACAAAATGCCCCATACAAAATTTGGATGTTGATGTTTTAAGGCCTATCCTAATATGTATTACATATGTATGTATTTGAGAAATGTGTGCCGAAATGCAAATAATATTGGTATTCATCTAAACGCCTCTAAATGTCTTGTAAACGCGTAAAACTCGTAAATAAACCGGTTGTCAGTACAAAATTAAACAAGTTTACGTGGTTTGCGTGGTTACGAAGCATTACGCATTTAGATGAATTGCCCTAATAAATTAGGTGTCATGTTAAAATATGCATAAAAAGTTTTAGAGATTTTTAAAAGTTACCTCACATAAAAGGTATTAGGGTCTTCTTTATATTTCATATTTTTTTTTTTTTTATTTTAGCTTTTTTTAAGTGCCGCAACAATTTTTTTTTTCAGAATAACTTGGAATTAGAAAATTGTAAATGCGAAAATGAAAAATAAGGACGCCCCTAAATTGTAAGTATGTTTGTATTCAATAAATGGTACGTACGCATATGCAAGTCGTTTTCAAACAACCCTTGCACGGAAATGCATCAATGCAAAGCTTCAGGCTCTTTTACTTTACAGCTGCATACAACATATTTCATGGTAATGTAACTGTGACTTTGCATTGCTGTGTTCCCGAACAAGTAGCTACTATGATATGTAGTTTTTCACGATCTCAGATGCGTAATTTTTCTAATGAAATAAAAAAACATGATTTTTACCATTTTATATCAAAATTTTTTTACATTGTATGTAGTTTGATTCAGAAAATATATTCAAGATTGCATATTATTGTAATTATAATACAATTTAAATAAAAATTAATTTCATTCGAAGAAATATGGGAGTTCCTTAAAGATTATAAATACATTTCTCGTTTCACTAACGCTGGCTCTAAACTCTCTAAAGGACCGCTCTGAATAAGGTCGTGTAGATTAGGGTGGTCCTTAAAGTTTTCAGTACAAGCGTCCAATATATTGGACAAACCTTTTTGTGCTTAAAGCTTTTTTTTCGTAAATAAGAGCTCTTGTTGTTAAAAGAAAAGTTGTTTTGAGAAAATTATCTATATCATAATTTTTTACCACGCTTATTTAATTGTATTTCCTAAATGCAATGACCGTTATTCTTCACAAAAAAAAAGTATTTCAGAAAAGTCGATAGGAAACGGTAATATATTGTCAAAAGTTTTTGATGGAAGTGAGAATCGAAAAAAATGCATTACTTTTGGAATATATTTCGCGAAAGAAAAAATAAAAATAAGTGAGATTTTACAAACCTAGGATATCTCTGTCCCAAATAATGGACACTGAATAAGGGTAAAACTAACAGTTTTTAAAAGCACTTTCCAATATAATGGACGCTGAATAACGTTAAAACTAAAAGCTTTATACAAGTTTTGAGTGTATTTTTAAAATCAACGACCCAAAATTAGCCGGTATACAAATTTTCAGATTTTTATTTTCAACAGTTAATTTTTTGCACTGAAAGGGTTAAGATATCAACTTTTAAATTTTGTGTGGGGCACCCTTTAATTTTGTTCTAGTCACGTACAAAATAAAGACTTTCGCGAAAATTTCAAAATGTTAAACAAATTTTGAAGTAACTAATATTTTTTTTTATCGCGAAATTTCGACAAAATTTTGAATTGAAATCTAATTAGTAAGACATATTATTGAAGCTTATTCATAAAAATTCATAAACTCGCTGGGTTATAGCTGGTTAAATGCAACATTTTGTAAAATTTTTGCTATTAAAAAAAAAATATTTATTTTAAAAATTTGAAATTTTTTTTGTGAATGTCTTTATTTCGCACGTAGAACAAAATAAAGGTGTGCCAAATTTAGTTGATAATCTAAGCACCACCCTAGTACAGATATTTTAGACCAAAAAAAGTTGAATGCACATAAAAATAATTTTGTAAATGTAAGCCTATGCTACATTTTATTCATTCATTTAACTATTTATTACGAATTTCTCCTTAATTTTAAAATAAAGACTTCCTCTTTTAATAAAACCAGTTTAAGCTAAGAAAGGTAAGAAGCGATGATCAACTACTTTCGCAAACTTTTTTTTTTTTTTGAACTGCATACTTATGCTGAATTCAAATACGTTTAACGAAAACATGCAAATAAAGTTAAACAACAAAACTTAAATAATTATGTAAGTAGTATATTCAGCATTTAATACATACTATATATAGGAAGTTTTTTTTCTTTTTTTTTCGGTAGTGTCTCACATACGCAATAGACTTACTTGAACCATACATTAAGGATCGATATAAAACAGTTTACAGTTTAATGGAATCTCTGGAATTTACAGCGTTGTCGAAGTAACTGTGCTTATGCCATGTACCAGAATAGTGGGTGGCAAATCAGCAGTCAACTCGGTTAGTAGCTCTATGTAACGTGCACTGCGCTCTGTGAAATCCGGTGTGTCGATTAGAGGTGGTGCAGCCAAATATATAAAGGAAACAGCCGTCTGGTCGGAGCGTTCACGTATTATTTGGTTGACTCTGGAAAAGTAGTCAAGAATATGAGTATAATCAGTGTTTTTTTTTTATTAGGTATAGGCTTTGTTTCGAATAGTTGCAGAAACGTCCAAAAAGTGTTTTACTGTCCTCTGGAGAGTATATTATGTACTACAATAAGTCACTCTAGCAATCACGAGTGCAATAAAAGCAATTGATATGTTTTGTTATGTTTATCGAAACAATGAAAAATGTATCACAAAAATGGCTGATCACTAAAAAACAGCTGGTCTAAGTTTCAGAAAAGTACATAGTTCAGAAATTCTTGGGGAATAAGACAAGGTAAGTGTTGCCAGAATATGCATTGAGAAAAAAATAAACCCTAACATATTTGTTTCAAACTGAATCACAAGCGAATTGGCGAAAAGCGATCTTTTATTTACTTTAAACACATTTTCATTTGGAAAGTTTTTCGTTTCAATACGCTTTTATTATGGACATCACAGATGCTACCTTATTTCAGCTAAGCTCCGAATCTCGCCTCTACGGTCTATATGTAAATGTTCATCTTAATCTAAATCTTAAAATAAAGGAAAATAACTGCAATAATTAGTTTTACTAACCTTTGCATATAAAGCAGCGAGCGATTGAGATTTTCCTCCGTAATTAATTCGTTGACATCCTCAGCTTGGCTTGTAAATTGTTTGAGTATGCGAGAATGGCTTGTGAATTCAGAATCACGGTTCCATTCTTGAATCTACAAATAAAATAAAGAGGAAATGAAGGTATTATCGAGTGTATTTCACATATATTACAATTGCAAGTAAGAATTAACGGCTGCATATTAATAAATTTTGTCTACTCTACCTCTATGATATCCGCTTCAATACGTAAATTCTTCAAAGATTGCTCCAGTCTCATTCTAGCGAAAATATCCAGCTGTGGCATTTGTGTATCGAAAGAACTGTAACCGAAAATTTATTTGTAAATATAAGTAGAAAATAAATAGCAGACAGATTCAATTAATTCTAAAGCACCTTAATTCAGTATTTGTATTGTTTGATTCGCACAGAAAAACGCGTAAACGCAAGTGCTTCCATTTAGCAAGCATGTTGATTATTACTGCCAATTGCATCATAAATAGAGAGACTACATCGAAAGGATTATTTGGATTGGGATTGAAAACGTTGATTGGCCAAACGTCTATATATCTCAAATGTTTGCTTCTATCAATAAACAATAAATATTTAGCATTAAATGTTTGTTTAACAAAAAAAACTTTGCTGACGCGCGCTTACTTTGCAATGAAATTCTTATCCAGGCGATGAAAGTGTCGACACAGACACAAATTTTTCTTCATGCGGAGCACATCGCACATAATAGCCACATATTCAGTGACATCAATTTGTTTTTCTTCGCCATCACGACGTATGGGAAAGTTTTGAATTTCGCCGTGATTAAAGCCATCGGTTTTATAAGGTGAAGTGCCGCTGAAAAAATGTGCCGTTAATAAATTAAGGAACGTATGTGTGTACATTGTTATATAGCACTCACGCCTCAAAGAAATCCTTTGGTGCTTCACTATCGTAGAATCCCAAAATTATGGTGTTCGGTTTCATTGCACCAATACCGGATAGACGTATCAAATGTTGCACACCTTCGCGTATAGACTGGGCCAGTGTCACTTCAGCAAACGCCTTCACTCGCATATGATCCAAGAATGATAGCCAATATTTGTTTTCCTCAATGGTGGGGTCTACGAAGGCCGTGTAGTCACCCACCTTCACGTGGCCAATCACATACAGCCCACCTTTTTTCATATCATTGACAAAATCTACAAGTGGACAGCAGGAACGCGGCGATGATACTAACAATAGCATTTGTGGACGCCAGAATTTTACATGATCCTTGCGTGAATCCAACATCAACAAGTACTTACGTACCTGTTGTAAAGAAATTAATGAAATGCATTTAAATGAAAATCAATATCCACCCACGCTCACCTGATGGAACATCAACGCTTGTGAGATCGAACCCCATTGGGTACCCTGCGAAGCTGGTGAGAACAGATGCAACGCGATAACCAAAATTAAACATAATATAATACTGGATGATGCATAAATCGGATTTATCACAAACATCATGATGAGTGTACCTAGCAAACCGATTAGGCAGGTGTGCCAAGTGAAATACTTAAAGAGTGGACGGAAATTCGGCGCACCAGTCAATTCGATGCCCAGACAAGCCAAATTTGTAGCCAAATAAGAAAGCATAAACAATACTGAATTAACCTGCGCAATTGCATTCAAAGAACCAATTAAGAGTATACATTCGACGAGTATCCAACTAGTGAACACCGCTGCAACGGGATTGCCCTTCCATGTGCCGCGTAATACGAATTTCAAAAGAGAGCCAAACACTTGATCCTTTGATAGAGCTTCCAAAATACGACTAGAGCCAATAAGATTGCTGAGTCCAGTTGAAAAAGTGGCGGTTAGTATGCCAATCGCTGTGAATGGTGGCCAAAAATTAACCGGCATAAGGAAGAGATAGTTATTTTGCATTATAACTGCTGGTGTGGTTAAAGCCATCAGAAATGAAAGTAAAATATAGGAGACGAATGTGAAGCTCACAGCCGATAATGTGCCGGTTGGAATACTTCTGGAAGGGCTTTTCAGTTCGCCCGACATATTTGCACCAGCCATAATGCCAGTCACGCCAGCAAATAAAACACCGAATGTGGTGGCGAAATCAACCATTTTACCATTCGAAGTGTAATCTTTAGCATAGTGCGGATAAAGATTATCCATTAAGGTGTGTGCATTTAAACCGGTGTAATTGAGTTTGGTTTCGTTGAAGATGGTGTTTTCTTTCGGAACGTCAATCTGAAAGAATTACGTAATATTAATTTGAATTGTAGGCATTCATAAAAAGAGAAATTCAAATTTAAGTGTATTTTTGAACCAGAAAACTCGCAAAAAAATTCTCAAGAAGTCGGAAAAGAAAGAAGATTTAAAAAAATAATTCCCAAAGATGCCGAAGAATAACACATTAAATACCGAGAAAAGCTCAAAATATCCCGAAAATAAAACCCGGCAAAGCCATAAAATCTGAAAAATATAGAAAAAATTTCGAAAAGCCCCCAAAAAAAAACACGAAACATTTCAAAAAAATTTAAAATTAATAGAAAGTTAATTATAAATAAAATAATGAAATGTATTGATCAAAGTATAACAATAGTCGAACTTTTTAGGAATCTTTCGTTTTTTTGGAAAATTTGGATTTTATCGAAATGTTGAAGTTTCTAAGATATTGCGGAATTTTTACAGATTTTTTCGGACCTTTTCCGGACTTTTCGAGATTATTCGCGTTCAATTTTTTTGGGAAATTTTGGAGGTTTTTCCTGTTTTTAAGTTATTTGAGATTTCGTGAATGCGCGATTATTTCGGATTCAAAATTCCACTTCGTTTTTTATGAATGCCTAACTGCATAAACTAATGTTATACTTTGATCAATACATTTCATTATTTTACGGAAAAATTCTGAAAGATGAAGACAAAATTCTCAATTGTCCGTAAAATAGTGGAAAGCTACAAAAAATCCCACAAAAAACAAAACACGAAGAATTTCGAATTCGCCCCAAAAAAAGTTGCGATAAAACTCCGAAAGGTCTCGAAAAATCCCTAAAACATCTTGAATGATCCGAAAAATAACACTCGAAGGACCGGAAAACTAAGTATCCAAAAAATAATCTCGAAACTTTCCGCAGAAAATACCCAAATATTCCAAAAAAAATTCGAAATGTCCCGTAAAGGCCCAAAAAATCCAATCGGATTCTCAAAAACATAAACGAGTCATTTGTAAAATATTTATAATGAAAAAACCCCGAAGACTGTGATCAATTTACCCCGAAAAACCCGCCATTTGAAAGCAAATTTTGAAATTTTTTATTCACGAAGCATACTGCCCAATTGCATATTTCCCCCGAGAGCCTGATTAATTAAATACTTGAAAAACTTTACAGCACCGCTTTAATATTTAGTCTAAACCAGTTTCAAACCAGAGATATTTTCGTTGCTTCATTTATGTATATACATTAGGGTGGTCCGAAAAAAAGTAAAGTCGGAATTTTAATGCCTTGTTACATATTGAAAAAATATATCCCAATTTTTTTTATTTTGAAATCAAAATATATTTAGGGGTCGCTCAAACCGCTCAAAGTTTTACATGTATTTTATATGGAAAAAAAGAACAATCCTAGGGGGTCAGAGCATAAAAATTCCGACTTTACTTTTGCACATGCATTTTTGGACCACCCAAATACATACATCTTGGGAGTAGAGTAACTAAATAGTTGCATAACTAAATAAGCTTCTTATAAGTTTTAAAATACCTAAAAACGTGTATGTATGTATGTCCTATGTACTCAAAATTTTTTTAAATAAAATCAATATGACGCAATTACCTCTTTCGGACCTTCGGCCAAGAAGCTTATATACGTGGCCATCAAGCATACTGTGACAATACCCAAAATTAATACCGATGTCTTAGCAAAGAGTGCGGCACCAATCAAACACACCACTAACATGGCTGTATTTATTAGCGTTGAAAAGAGGAAGCGCCACCAAGTGCCATCGGGTAGTGAATCACCACCTTCTGTGAAATAGCCACCAGGGCCAAAGTTCTCCATTACACCCTCCGTACAACCAGATATAGCCATAGCACAACCGACGACATTAGCCAGAAAGAAAAGTGTACCAATCGAACCGCCAAATTCTAGGCCTAGCGTACGGCTTATCATGACTGCAAATGTAATGTAGACAATTAGTAAAATTATCTATATGAAAATATGATGCATTACTTACAATAAACGCCACCACCTTCCACGGCACCATTGGTAGAGATTGCGCATACAGACGCAACGGTAAACAGGAGTATTAAATAGGCGATAAGGAATTGAAGAAGCGTCACATAAAGACCAGCGTTGCCGACAATAAAACCTAAAAATATGTATGAATAAATATACATAAGTATCTATGTAGATATGTATGTATTACACACGATAAATCAAAGAAGTAGCGACTTTCCGTAACTAATACGAAATGATGATAACTTTTGACTAAGCAAATAAGAACATACATAGACTACATATTTAAAAATACTTAAGTGATTCACAGAACGGAAATTGGAAATTATGGCAGACTAAAGACTTGTTGAAGGTCTTAAGTGAAAGGAACTAGTATGTAGATATGCTATGATTTTTCGCGACTGACAAAATAATACAAAAATATAAGTAAATGTCTTCCAAAATAGTTAGTTTCTATTTTAAGGTTTTTAGGTTTGATTTATGTAAGAAAAGCAATGCAATCTCCAATTTTGTTATTGTAATTATAGTTTACTAAATAGAAAGGATTTAGCTACATACCCTTTACATTTTTAACATAATAAAAGAATGTATCGCAGCAATTTTGGGCCACTGCGAAAAAGAATTTCACATACAAAAAAATTTACTTCCTAGGCACATGGCCGCAATAGTTAAAAAGTTATTAATCTCTTTTTTCACAACTATGGATGCTAATTGTTATAATTATACAAAAATGGAAATGTCCATAGCCTATAGAAAATCGACACAAAAAAAATAAACCAGCTGAAACCACTTAGCAAGTATATATTGATATCTCTGTATGTATGTATACGGGCGCTGTGGTGTAGTGGTAAACAGTGGCACTTCCATTCGTAAATTTACTTTTTAATGCATGATTTTTAATTTGCAAGAAATAATTTAACACTACATGCATATATGTATGTATGTATAAGTAAGTGTATAACACTATAAATTATAGCTACAAAGCTGCAACAATATATGTACATACATATTTAACTACATTATCGCATATCACTTAATTGCAATAGTTATTTACATGTAACTATGTACAATAGAGTGGTCCTTAAATGTAGGAAGCAAATTTTTATATCAGATTTCCTAAGCCTCAGCCGCTACGTCAATGCAGGTATAGTCGAAGATTTCACATTAATATTTTGGCCCCGATTGAAGCCGGTTAGGCGTAAAAAGTTTAGAAACAAGGTTTTTTCTTAACAGCGGTTGCCCTTCGGCAAGCAATGGCAAACCTCCGAGTGTATTTCTGCCATGAAAAACAGCTTCTCATATAAATATAATGAAGTCGCACAAATGTCTCAATAAAAAATTGACTATTCGTACAGATTTCTGGGCGAAGTGTCTAAAGAATTTTATGTATTTCCTTATCCGACATGTCTGATCGAATTATGTCCGATTTCGGGCAGACACGTCTGATTATTCTTATTTCCCAGGATTTTTTGGTCAGACATCTGTTAGATATCCGTCAGAATCGTCGGTAATTAAGCCAGAATTTCCCACGACGTGTCGGTTAGACTTCCTGTCAACCTCTCCATACGCTTCTCTGATCGATATCGGCCAGAAATCATAAAGATTTCAGACTGGGTATATGCAGGTATATGCAAATATATTTCTACGCCTAAGTACATACATATGTATTTAAATAAATACTTATTTATATGTTTATAATTTCAAGATGTTAATTTGCCATCGACACCCGCCCCACTGCTTATTATAGCAGATCTAGTTCGTTTGGTTGCGTTTGTATGTACAAACATATGTATAGCTACATATACGTATGTATAATTTGTATGGGCATGAATAAATAATCATGAGCAAATAAAAAATACTTACCCACACGTATAAAGACTAAAGCGCTGAACATTGACAACGCTACTGGGCTGAATACGCCAGCAAAAGTCCCTAGAGTACGACCGCTTCTATCCGGATCCTGCATACCGAACTCAACGTAACCATGGTCGCCTGCATTTGAGGGCGAATGTATGCCGCCGCCGCCGCCGCCGCCGCCGCTGCCTATGTGATTGCTATTCGCTCCAAACAATGAGCCAAACGAACGGAACATTGAGGAAGCCCCACCACTGCGATGCGAGGCAATCGGTGCCATCTCATCGTTGGGAACATCACCGCCGCCATTGCGTCTTTCCTCTGGTTGCTGGATCATCTCAATTGTGCCAGCGGCGGTGGATACGTGGGCAGTTAAACGCGACAATTTGTGTTATTCACTCACACAAACGCCCACAAAAAATATACCAACTTTGGTCTGTTGTGGAAAGTTTCACAAACTTTTTCTATATAAATACGTATGTCTGTATACCCGCGAGATTAGTACTTAACTGCCCACGAACGTAGTAAATCGAAGTGAAGAATTCTGCTTATATTGAGTCCACCAAAAGCTATAGTTTCGCACGGCTGCACACACAGCAATCATATGTATGTATATCAGGTTGTATGCCCTTTTTCCAGCTGGTGAAAGCGAGTATACGATTCTTCTTGCTAGGAACACAAAATATTCACGTTAAACAGTCATCAGTTGTTTAGTTTTTAAAGCTTATAATATTCACTCCCACTTGATAGGAATTGATGGGAATCTTTTTTGAATTATCTCTTGGATTCGCTACGAACTAGAAAACCACAAACTGAACCAAGGCGGAAAACTAAACTGAATCATCAGCTGTCAAATTAGGGAGCAAGTGGGGATACAAAGAACGAAGTGTAAATAAATGAAGAAAAATTGCGCAAAATAAACGGTGGATAAAAAATAAGTCAAAACAAAATTGTTGCGTTGCCATATTTAACTTGTTTGCAATATAAATTTTTCAACACTGTAAAAATTTTTTAGAAGAGCCAACAGGAATGTGGTGAATTTTTGAGCAATTTAACAATGTTTCGTTGGTCGCTTACTTATAGGGAATTTACATGATTCAACTTTCACAGGCGATTAGTTGAACCAAAAGTTGAACGAAAGTATGCAGCCGACCAACTTCATTGAAAGCGATTAGTTGAAAGGCCGTTTACACTCCATGCATACTTTTCCGTTGGAACAATTTTGACAACTAATACGTATATCTTCATTGTCATGACAGTATTGTCCGGTGTAAACCCTAAGTTAAGCTTACAATTAGGTAAGCTGCAAGCTGAGAATAAATGTTCGAAATTGTAACGAGACCTTGAAGTAACTTTTAGCTTCCTGCATCTACCCAGACCTCTGAATTTGAACTGTTTCAATTGTTTTTTTGGCTTACTTGGTTGACCGAAGGAAAATACTATTTGAATAGAATATATATTTAGTTGCATCCACTATAGATTTTAGCAAGGACCAACATTAGTCTTCTGCTAATTTTTGCTATTCCTAGAAATTATTGAATAATAGTAAATAATTTTATGTATGCAAAAGCTTTATTTACTTAGTTCGTTATGGCATAACCCTAAAATTTTCCAAATTCTGCGTAATTAGAGGACTTTTTTATAGCTGACACTATTTTCGAAAGACACTTGTTACTTAAACTACATCTACAAAACCACAAATTACATACTTCATATTCAGTATGCATAAATGTATATACATACATACATTAGTAAAATTTAAGGACTAAAAACAAAATAAACTAGGAAAGTTTTGGAAATGTAGGCATTATATTGATCGTTGATGCCTTAATAAATTAAGTAATAACCATACAAATGCCTTAAACGCGATGGCGTTGTTTACGTCAAGCTTTTCGGAAATAGTCTCCTGATCCATAAGAGTATCGTCGATCTTTAGCAGCATTCGATACAAGTACTTCTTCATCATATTGTGAAATGCGTTGAATTTTTGGGCGCATGATACTACGTACATCATTCAATGTGATATCCAAATCTTTGAAAGCATTCAACATGAATACAGCTAAGATTACTACAAAAAATCCACAAATATCTCCCAAGATATCTTCGAAACGCATGTGTGTAAATTCCTTGAAAAGTATTGCAGAGGCTGTTATGACAAGAGATGTAAACATTACATAATATACGGGCGTTACAATTCCTGTATTGAATACATCCAGCGCTTTGTTTAAATAATTCATTTGTATAGCAATGAAAGTAACAGTGACGCAAATCAGAAACCATGGCATCCAAGTGGCAAAATCGTTTCCAGTACCATTTATGGTATCGCGTATGGCCAATCCCAGCGCTTTGCATGACATCACAGTCAGTGAGCCAATGCCGGAGCACAAGTAAATATATACCGCAACATTAGAATGACCATATCTCGGTGCAATAAATAGTGCTACGTACACTGTTGAGCCAAGTATGCAAAGCACATAGAAAATGAATCCTGGATCTTGCAATTTTTCAAATAAAATCTCTAAATTTTCAACCTCTTTCTCTTTTGGTGAATGTATAACGATGATAGTTGAGCCTAGAATGCAAAGTACGCAACCGATTTTTCCCAGAAGATTGAGTTTTTCATTTAAATAATTTGATGCCATCACCGCGGATATGATTACGCTCAGGGCACCGAGTGGAGTAACAAGAGATGCTGGCGCAAAAGCGTATGCTGCGAAATTGGCACCTTCACCAAGAGCCACTGCAAACGATTGAATGTAAAAAATAATTTTGGTGTATTAAACAAGATATAAATTAAATTTCTTATATATGTATGTAAAATCATGAATCATGAATCATGTGTACAATAAATTTATAGTGAAATTTAAACATCTCCGCCTTATAGATACATATGTATATAAAATGGAAATAACTAGTACGTCGGAATGCTTATTAAGTTTTCTTTTACTTACTCGTTAGCAAGCCTGCCCACCAAATCCATTCTTTTAAGTAACCATAGCCGCCAGCGGCAGCGCGCATTTCTCCTTGTCTACTAAGCCGCATAAGCGCCTTCTTCTTTATTATAAAACTCGAACCAATAAAAAAGCATGAGCAAATTGCCAATCCTACGCCAATATAGAAGTCAAGCTGGGAATACAGCTCGCCCAAGGAGGGCACGGGACTCGTTGAAGCTAAATTGCTAACGGAGCCGCTGCTCATGTCCATGACGTTCATGGCATTAGCCCCACTTCTTTCGCTACTCATCTGCGGGTGATATTTACTTGGCTTCCTTAGATTTATTAGAAAAGGGCGTGACCAGAGCAAACCTTAATTCAGTAGCTTCAAAAGAAAGAATTTAAAGGAACTTCTCAACAATACACTTCGTTCATCAACACTCGTAATGGGCAAAACAGTAATGTAGAGCTGGAAGACTATCGATGGCGCTATCGATAGTATCGATGGTTTTTAACTATCGAAAACATCGATGGTTTTGTAAGCACTATCGATAGTTTTCACTCAAAAATACATTATTCAGTAATAGTAAAAGGGCAGTTACTCACGAACGTAAAAAAGGAGAACGTGTCAGCTGACACAATCTATCTTATGGGATCTGCATGTTAACACCTAATTTACATGATTCAAGTACTTGAAAGCAATTCTTGCTCATTCTCTTTTGTGTTTTTTATTTGCTTTTACACGTTTCAATTCTGTTGAATTCAAGTCTTTGGTTCTTTAAATGGGAAGCAACGAAAATGCCAAAAGCAAAGCAAGAAAGTTGAAACGACTTGACGGTACAGACGCATGTGTACTCGTCCCTTTTCTTCTCACTCCCTCTCTTCCATGTCCGAGCAGAATTGAATTCAATACTTGAACTGTGTAAAAGCACACTAACAGAAACTTACCACCGCATGACCGTGACGTAGACGTTAATTCTCTCTCTTTCTTTCAACAGCAAACTTGTTATGTTGCTCCGTACTTCTACGCTACGCTACGTACACGTTCGTGGGTAACCATGCTCTAAAAGCCGGCGGTACCTGCTTCATCTTGCGAGTCGGAAGGGACATTTAGCAAAGCATAGCAAATAATTTCAAAGCGCAGATGCTGCTTGAAGCCAAAAATCGTTGTGGACTTTTGTCCCTTAATAAAAAGATGGACATATTTTAGCAATTCTGATCTCATTTTCAATAAAAGTTGTGATGTATAATTTTAAGACTTTTTTAATCAAAACTATCGATAGTGTCGACAATTTCGATAGTATCGTTACTATCGTTGGTTGTGCCTATCTACAGTTTTCCAGCTCTACCATGATGACTCAAAAACACGAAAACAATTAAGCAAAAAAAGTAAAGCTGCCTTTACATGAGGCAATTCTTTGAAAACCAATAATCGCCTGCAACAGTTGACTTGCTGTCTACTTTGAGGCAAGCGATTTTTGAATCACCATTTACACGAGCGATTTTTTTAAGCAATGTTGAATCCCCTAGAAAAATGCCATGTGTAAATGCAGCATAAGTTTTAATTTTGATACTGCAATAATGTTACCAGACTTATTACTTTGGTAAACAACACAATTTTGCTTTAGTTTGATTTTAAATAATTGGCCCGTAGTCATAGTCAAAATAAAGTCGACTTTAAAGTTAGTTGCAGCTTTTTGACATAATTTTCAATGGGATATCTGTCAAAAAAGCTGCAACTAACTTTAAAGTCGACTTTATTTTGACTATGACTACGGGCCATTGTAAATAAAAATTTGTAATAATGCTGTTTAAGCAAAAAAGGTAAATTTATAACAAGGGACAACTCGTAGATTTACGTTTTTTGGTGCAACCCTGTGTCAAACTCGACATAACCACCTCCGAGCAAACTAAGCAGCAGCCATTTAATTTGGCAAACAAATGTTTGTCTGCATAACACCGACCTTATAGATTTACGTTCTTTGGCTGTACGTATACACATTTTGTTCTGCTAGTTTTCATCCAGTGTGAAACCGTGCGTCATTCTAGTGTGAAACATCCCATGCGGAATAAAAAACCGATAGCGGCATCAATATGACTATCGATAGTTTTCGAACTCCATTTCATTCTAGCGATTGATTCATTTTTCTTTCATTCTGCTGTTTTCTCTTTTTCCGCCTTTTGTCAAATTTTGTTGCGCGTCGGTGAATTTGGTTTTGGAAAATGTAAATCTGAAAAAAACGAGCAAAAAATGAATTTTCAGGCAACAAGCTGCTGTCGCATTTGTTTAAAAAGTGAGTTGCTTATGTCTATTTACCTTTACAGTCCAACGTTTCCAATGAGACCGATTGAAATTATAGAGAAGTTGAACATTTTTAAGGTTGGTGTATTTTAAAATGGTCAAATAAAATTATTGCTATTAAAAATATAATCTTAAAAAACACAAGCTTGTTTTTTTTTCTCATAGTACGATGAAACTTTACCTGCACTTTTATGTCAGTCATGCCTTTTTCGCTTGTTGGATGCCTATAACTTGCAGCAGCTAGCTGAAGCGTCAGAGCGGCGCCTACGTGACTATATCGTTAATAATGGCGGCAGTGGCCTTGGCTTATGTGGTCTAAGCACAAATTCAATGTGAGATTAAATTGATTCGCTATCATAATTTATTATTGATAAATTCAATTTAATTTCAACAGTAACCACGATTCCTCAAGCTTCTCCTCAACGGCCGCCATGGGTGATGCATGCAAGGACTCTGGTGTGACCGCTGCCATTTATGCGAATATATGCGACATGTTGGAGCGAAATAATGTGCAGGCGAATGGTGTGGTAGTCGCTGAGAATGGGGGATGTATGGTGACTGGAGATGATATCTTGAATGATATTGAGATTGATGTTAGCAGTTTAACACGTTCAGAAGCCAATGAGGATACACTGACCGAAGTACTCGCAAGTAAACATACAAATATAGCTTTCAATCCAGGGACTGGAAAAACTATTGGTGCAGATGTGGAAATCACGGTAATTTAACTTGGTTAAATATATGTATTTAAAAAAAACTTATGTAATAAATATTTTGTAGCCAGAGACTGGAAATGAGGTTGATGTACCTGTGAAAATGTCTGAAAAGTGCACGGAGTGCGGGAAAGTTTTCAAAAACATTGGTTATCTGGAAGCGCATAGCCGCTTACATACAAACGAAAAACCATATCAATGCAAGGTATGTAATTGTTTTCATTACATAATTTCAAACTAAAAAAAAGAAAAATTCAGAATAACATCTTACTTCCCTTATACTTGAGCGAAAAAAACGGTGACAAAGTTCACGTTTTCCGTCGTAGCCCAGAAACACATCATTCCAACAAACATTTAGGGTAGAGAACGATTAGAAAACAACTCGAATTCTAATGTTTCTCTAAGGTAGAAGGTTATGAGACGATTAGAGAAGCTGTCGAGAATTATAGCATTATCTACAAGGGGACTTAGTTCTCAATAGCGAGAAAGAAATAAGATATCTAATCGCTTTCTAACGTACAATTCTAATTGGTTTCTAATGTCTAATGTTTTTTCTAATCGAATTCTAGCATAGTTCTCTAACCTGATTTTCAATTCGAGAACTACATTAGAATGCTAATGTAAAACCAAACTATTTCTCCAACGTTGTGTGTGTTTCACTGGGATGTGATTAATTAAAAAAAAAAACGAGATCCAATTCACAATAAAGTACTATGTCATCATATCACTGAGCCCATATTCGGCAGTGGAAAATTAATAAATTTCGAATTTTAAAAGTAGATATTTTGCGAGAAAATAACAATTTTATTATCTGTAACTGATAACTTAAGATTAAAATTATTGCCCAAGCAATATTCATAAATACATATCTAAAATCTAATCGTGGTAATAAAATTCAGACATTTATTTGCATCCGCTTAATCACTGCGACTAATAACATACTTTTTTTTCTATGCTAATAATGTCACATTCGAAGTGAGTTTTATTGTATAAGTACACATTTCCTTGTGCAATCACATTTTAAGAGTTTTGAGATACTTAACTTTAAATTAATCTTAATTGTAACTCGTAATATTTACGACACCATTCCCGCAGCACCTCAGTTTTCTAAATAAAAGTCGCATAAGTACGGCCACAAAGTACATGATTGCGAGAACAATAAAATAGCAACCATAAACAAAGAATTGTTCACGAGGTTTTAACCCATAGCCGGTATCAGTAACTACCACAAGTGTTAGAATCGACTGCAATACAAGTGCCGCCAGAGTATTAATGCCGAAAATTAAGCCAAAACTGTCTTCAGATAAATTCTCTGCAACAATAGCGCTCGCTGTTGTAATGACGAAAAAGTAGCAGATTCCAAAAAGAATGTACATTATGTAGGCCATCCAAACTAAATGCGTCTGTGATGAATAGATAGTGAAAACACCCATAAGAAGCGAACAAACAGTCAATATCCACATGTGCCATTTTTTATGATGACTAGTGTTAGCTATACCAGCCACCATGGCACTACCAGCACCCAAGAGCGTTACAATCGCCTCTATAGCACCGTTGTAGAAACTCTCATTGCGCGGATCTATATCCTTCCAGAGAAATTGCACATAAGAGATCACCTGAACCTGACCACATGTTGCCAAAGCCCACCAAAAACTCCAACGGATTACTGTGCGATTGGTATAAGCACTAACAATTTGTTTCGTAAGTAGCTGAAAGGCATTGTACCAGGAAAATCGAGGTGATGTAGTCAAACTGATGTCACTTGCAGCCGTTGGGATGGCAGCGGCGGAGCCGTTTTGTGGAAAAGCTAAAATAGAGAGCAAGAAAAAAAAATGAATACATATTGAATTGAATTGCAGTCGGTTGTTTATTTACTTGTTTTTTTTTAAGCAATTTTAACTAATTTCCTCTGTGCTTAGCAACTCTAACTAGAAATCAATCACTCTTTGCCCAAAGTAACGAACTAAATTAAAATTTATTTACAGCTTCATCCACTGGATTTAATTTGCAATTATATTTATTAAACCTTTATAATTATTAATTTTTTCCAAGCGGTGTTTCAAATTATTTACGCTTTGAAATATACCATTCTTATCGCAAACAAGCGATATTTGTTTATATTCTTGAGACTACACCCAATACCCAAAGTTTTAATTGAGCTTACCTTCAAGTTGTGAGCTACGGGAGTTGTCATTCTTCTGTTCTGTAGTTGGATACGAAACTTCATCTACATAAAAATACAAACTTTTGCCCACCGGCGGTAAAAGCACTGCTATAAAAAGTGATACTATTTGTGAGCCAAAGGAAATATAATTAAGACCTCTGTAGTCCATGACTTCGGTAGAAACCAAAACTTGAGCTACAACACCGCCTAAAAATTTTCCACATAAAATCGCTGATCGTGTATGACCGGTTACAATCTGATAGCGCTCCTTATCCACTTTAGCATAAATATATGTGTAATACGCCACTTCTGTAGCCATAAAGGTACCGTATAATACCTGGCCCACCTGTAGTTCCCATACTTTGTATGTCCACAGTAGTATGCCAAAGAGTATAATACCGGAACATGCGGAAACAATAATAATTGGTTTGTAGCGAAGTATATCGGTAATTAGGAAAACAATGGCAAGTTGTGCCAGCACAGCGTAAGTACCAAACGGATAGATTTCTTTATTAACCTGCTCCGCCGTGATGTTATGCCACGGTCCACTCAGGTATTCCGTAACAAACGGTTCTGAAGGGCGAAATTCACGAAAAAATCCGAAAATCCATAGCAGCAATGAAATACGTAACCACGCTTGCATCTCAACTGTGACTGGTTTACGATCAGACAGCAGCCCTTGCGTCTCCCCTCTTGTTTAGATTGTTGTTAGAACTTAGTTAGTTTATGAACAAACCGCGCACGACACACTGACCTTTATCGCAAATGCTCGCCGCTCGACTGATGGGCGCGCTCCTCTAAAAAAAATGAGAATTGTGTTAATACACGGAGACCTTGCCGCTAGCCGAATATGTTCGCAATCTTTTATTATCAATTTAAGTTTTGCGTTATCATTCTCACGAAAATAAAAACGTTTGTAAAGATTAAAATGTGATTGCGTTCTCACATCACCCAGCTGATACGTGGCGGTTTGATAAAAGGCAAGCACATGAGAAAACTCGATGTATAGAATACATGCACACATACATGGAGTATGGGCAAGAGATGCAGCTGATTTGAGTCATAGAGAAAAATGTTATTGTTACGTCACTTTTTCTATCTTTGCACGAGAACTGAAAACTACGAAATGTACACATAGTTATGTACATATGTATTTACTATATGGACACATACTCGTTCAACAAACCGGCAGTTTTATTTAGTGGTGCATTGTGTTTTTTGTTTCTATAAAAAATAGCTAACTGAAAAAATTAACGCTTGAGAGGTGTGACATCAAGACTGATTAGAACCTACATATATATGTATGTATGTATGTATGTATGTCTATACGTATGTATATACGTATTTTCCCAAGTGATGCACTCGCATGATTTACACTAGACAACAAAACTTCTGCTTATAAATGCATTTTTCAATTGTGAAATCAAAAAAAAATATTCGATATTTAATTACATAGTATGGACAAATGCAACGATTTATGTACATATGTATGAATGTAAGCAGATTTCCGTACTATAAACCTATCTGAGGAGTGCCACAATAGCAGTCCTGAATATGCGTAACTATGTACATACATACATATGTACAAATGTACATACATACATATTTAGTGCGTTCCAGAACATCTAAAATTTGAAGGCCTTGCAGGATTTAATCCAAAGTCGCTCCCGTACGCCACGTTTATATAAGGTTTATTAAAGGCGAGAACAGCTGTTCCCCGAGTGGAAGATCGCCCTATTGCGGCAGCCAGTTCGAAAACGCCCTAACTCAAACAAATTTTCAACAACGCCCTACTTCAGGATTTGATTTAAAACGCCCTATTTCAGAATTTTATTGAAAAACACCCTACCTCAGAATTTGGTCGAGGCCACCCTATCTCAGAATTCGGTTCAAAAACGCTCTATCTCAAACGAAAATACATACTTTCAAAATGTGGTGAGATATTATCAAAAATCAACGCGAATTCTCCGAAAAAAGGTTTAAATGTGAAAATTTTTAGAGTTCAAAGTTTGGCTTTAAATTTAATATACCAATAATATAGATGCATTTAAAATAAATATCTTTCAAAGGTTTTATTACTCAGCTATACGCTAAAAACCTGAAAGTCACTAAACCCCTGAAAATCTGGTGTGGAGTTTTACCCATAAGTTTAAAGCTGTTAGAAGCTAAAGAAAAGGTATTAACATTGCAAAACACATACCAGGGCGCCAATTCTGGTTCTATGAAACAGTGATGTGAAAATGAAAAATTCAATGTCAGTGAAAATTTAATTTTTTCACTTTATCGTTTCGTTATATCATTTTAAGCGATTCTCGATCATTAAAGGCTATTTTATCAACATCTAGCAAGTAATTCAATAAATTATTTTGAGTTTAAGACAATGATATTCTTTATCACGAGATGATAGTTGAAAAATTTTTGAAAAATTAATTAATTTACATTTGAAACAGAACCGTAATTTTGTGTGAAGTGATGAAAAATGTTTTCGCTTCACGTTTTCACAGACCAGGAATTGACACCAGAACAAATTTTTGTCCTATGAAAAGCAAAGTTACTTCAAGTAAAAAAAAATCCTTCCCTCAAAAAGTGTCTACAAATTTTTAGACATCAAAGCGCGTTCTTAGCTGTGCAGTGTTGTTGTTTATTGATCAATCTATTCTATCGTTTAATTGATCATTTAAGAAAATTCCCGCTTCCATTTTTCAATTAACAAGCTTTCATTCTATCATAATAAATTATTATCGATAAGAATCACTGTTTTCTAAAAAAAAACTAATAATTTTATTTAATTATTTTATTGTATATTTTTTTATTATAAAGTATGTACTTCAATATTTTCCAGCAATGTGCGCGTCAATTTAAGCAATCCAGTAATTTACTATTGCATCAGCGTACACATACTGGCGAACGACGTTTCCAATGTGAAATATGTGCCAATTTCTTTACCACCTCGAGCAATTTGAAGGCACATAAGGCAATACACTTGGAGCACCGTGATTACCGCTGTAGCCAATGTGATCGTGAATTTAAAACGCGACGGGAATTGCGTCGCCACGAGCCGGTGCATAAAACGATAAAGGATAATGTATGTGAAAAGTGTCAGAGGGCGTTCAGCAAACGTAGTTATCTGTTGGATCACATAGCGGTCATGCATCGGGGCGTGCGGCGGCATAAATGCGCGGAATGTGGCAAATTGTTTGGTAGACGATCGAATTTGGTGTCACACATGCGGTAAATTTGAAAAAAAAAGGCAATGCCTAATAATTGGGTTATATCTTTACGCTCTAGTTCATAGTTTTGGATGCCATATCGATTTCGTCGCTGTTTTTACTTTATCCGTCCAATTTCTCCAATTTTGTTCAAACCTGTCCATTATCTTATGTTTCCCAGCCGCTCCTCTGCGTCCCTCGAGCTTTCCTTGTATTAAAAGTCTCAATTATTTCATACTTTTGTCCCCTTATAATGTGTCCAAGGCAGTTTTTCTTTATTTCCTTTAAGAGTTGTAGAAGCTTAAAATTACATTTATACAATTGCATAATTTCATACCTATTGAAATTGTTTTTCAATAATTTAATGTTTATTTATTTTTGCACTCTTTGCAGCATACACTCAGGTGAAAAACCGTTCGAGTGCAAATTTTGTCCTTGGAAATTTAATCAATCATCAGCCTTGGCGCGGCATATGAAAAAGCATTCGAAAGGGTACATATTTATCTCACTTCTATTAAACTTATGTAAATCATACATCTGATAATTTCCATTATTCTAATGATACGCAGCAAAAATGTCGAATTGGGATTCAAAGCGGCAGACCAAGTATTAAAACACTCTGCATTAATGAATATTTTGGAAACACCAGAGATGGTGGTGGTAGCCGCCGGAGCAACTAACGACGTAAGCGCAGTCAACATAGCGCAACAAACTAGCTATAATGTTCTAAGCAATATAGCCAATTTGGGTGGCTTGCACTGTATGAACACAGAGTGCAATCTAGAAAATACATCAACGGACACGGAAAGTAGTGAGGTGGTGGAGGCGCTACACAATAGTAGCGTTTATACCTTTACAAAGAATGACATACTCGATTTCTCTACAAATCAGCAAGTTTGTTAGGATGTACATATTTTCAAACTGGCGATGTTATTTTTGCTTAATATACTGATCGTAGAGCTGTAAGAGCTCGGGATTCGTGCGCGGTTGCACGGCATTTAATGCGTACTCGAAATGCGTCCATCGTACACGCTCAGCTTCAAAACTCTCCTCCAGACATTTCAATGCCGCCTCCTGACATACGGCCTGTATTTCGGCACCTGAATATCCTTCCGTGCGTTGCACAAGCTTTTGCAAATCTACATCAGCTGCCAATGGCATTGGCACTAATTTTATGCGAAAGATTTCTTGACGTGCCTCGGTATCGGGCAGTCCAACATAGACAATACGATCGAAACGTCCCGGGCGCAACAGTGCTTTGTCAATCATATCTGGTCGATTAGTTGCTGCTACAATAGTGACATTTTCCAACGCCTCAACACCGTCCATTTCAGTGAGCAGTTGAGTGAGCACACGTTCTTTAACCGATGTTCCCGAACCGCCATCGCCACCATCAGCTCGCTCGCCACCAATGGCATCGATTTCGTCGAAGAACACAATGGCCGGCGCTACTTGACGCGCCTTGCGAAAGACTTCGCGCACTGCACGCTCCGATTCGCCCACCCACATCGAGAATAATTCGGGCCCTTTTATGGAGAGAAAATTCAGTTGACTTTCGGTGGCAAGCGCCTTGGCAATCATTGTTTTGGAACAGCCTGGCGGACCGAACATTAGAATACCACGAGGCGGTTTCAAACCGAGCCGTTCAAACTTATCTGGATGCAGTAGTGGCCATTCTATAGCCTGTTTGAGCTTCAGTTTCAATTCGGCCTGCCCACCGATGTCACTCCAATGCACATTCGGGTTTTCTATGAGCACCTCACGCATAGCCGATGGTTTAATATGTGTCAGTGCGGCATGCAAGTCTGGCAAATGCAGAGGACGTGCATCATCTTTTAGCGCACGTAACGAAGCGGCGTACACAAGATTGGCCAAATCAGCACCAACATAACCATGCAGCACTTGGGCCACATCATCAATGTCGGCAGGTGAGAGTTTATGTGTAATGCTGCGGAGAAGACAGCTTAGTATGGCAGCGCGTTGCTTGGGCGTCGGGGCGCTGATTTCAATCTCGCTATCCAAACGACCACAGCGGCGTACATTTGGATTCAGTGCGTCGATTTGAGATGTTGTAGCTAACAAGAAGGTGCGTTGTGCTTCCTTTTTCGGTCCGTTTAGAATGTCCAGCGCGCTTAGAAAGGCCGCTCCCACACGTTTGGTCATTTCATTTGTCTCATACTTTGGACAAAGATTGTGCACGTCCTCTATGACGATAAGAGTGGGTGTCGGGTAGTTTTCGAATGCCTTCTCGAAATGAGACATTAGATTTTTTTCCGTTTCGCCGAGGAATTTGCTAAATAATTCGCTGGTGTTAATCCGAATCAGCTCGACTTTGGTTAATTTAGCAGTCTTCTCCAGCATTGTTGAGCACATGACTTGGGAGAGTAAGCTCTTGCCGCAACCAGTGGGGCCATGTAAAAGAAAACCACGCGAGACTTTCACACCTGTAGGGACATGAATAAAAAACGTTTTAAATAAAAACACAACCATACCCAAATTGTTAAAACATTTTTAGCTACGTAAAAATAACGTAAATCAGTAAGTAAATAACCTGCAGGTACGCCATTTAGTCCAAAAGCCATATCTATCGCTTCCTCTATCATTTCAATTTGTTCATCTAGCCCGCCAACATCAATTTTAGTTACTTTATTATAATTTGTTGAATTTTCTTGTGTACTCTCTGTTTTGTGTCGTTCAATTTCAAATCGCGTAGCACAGGTTACTTCAAAAAACCGCGGTTCCACATCGCACTCCAATTTTAAGCTCTTAAATGTCTCCTCCAAATTGGCATCATCTTCAGTGTTACTGGTTGCCACTCCAAAACTAGACCATGACACCACTTGCAAAGTTAGGTCTTTGTTGAAGAAATCCATAAATATTCGGCTACCTGTTGTAAATATTAAATTCTTTAATTCAAGCTTTAACAACCGCTCTACATCTTTAAGCTGCGCATCCATGAGCTCAGTGATTTCGCCTACAATAGATGTTACACGAAGACCAACCGACTTAGCTACAGAACAGGGTTGCAGCAAGGCAGATATTTTAAGTGATTGACCTCCAAGATCACTCCCATACATTTTAAAATCTGGAACAACAAATCTTTAATAAATAATGAAATGGTTTGATTGTTCTTGAATTGCATACCTTCCTCGCTGACAAAGATCGTTGTTAAAAACCTGTCGGGTATGGGCCAAACTAGTCTGACTAGGCCTACCGCCTCCGATTTCTTTACTGGCTGTATCAGCACCCTTTGTCCAATATATAAATGTGTTAAACGTATAGCACCTTCCGAAATGAATACTAAATTGTTAATGTATTTGTTTGGCACATCATTCAATTCTTCTATATGAAAACTACGCTTTTCCACTCCAGTTGTGTAAAGGCAGTTATTATGGATATATTCCAGCGGTTCGGCAGTATCTGCGGGAATAGGACAATACTTCTCGTGCGTTTCGCGATCTTTTGATGTAATGTGGACATCGCATAACTCGCAGTGATACCAAGAGGCTACACTGCCACCAGATTTCTTATTTGAACTCTTTGGAGGCATCTGTTAACAAATTCCAACACCCGCTCTGAAAATTTGTTTACAACGCAGACACGTGCAGTAGAAAAAGAAAAATCGGCGATACAATCGATGGTCTTCGAATAAAAATAATTGATAACCAGTTCCTTTAGGTAATCTTAATCAATTTCAAAGCAATGTTCATTTCCAACGGAACTGCTTTATAAAGCTTCTATGTAGATCTATCTGTTGAAACATAGGGGCATGAGCTTTTTGACATTATTTTAAATGGAATACATTTCCTGGCTGTGTAGGAATGGTGATGGTGTTTATTAATACTTTCGATGGAAATCTGTGGTCCATACTATCGATAGTTTTTCACTTCTGTCGTGCAGCGTAGCCCCATGAACAAAAGACACAAGATCACGCCTTAAATAAAGAAAAAGTTGTTTTCTAGCAGTCGAAATCTCGACGCCATCTTTGTTGTAAGAAGTAAACAACGAAAAGAACGAAGAAATCCGCGTAATTGTTGAACGCATGAATAATAATTTTTATTATGCAAATTCTATAAATCATTAAATTTTTCTTTGCCTTTTGTGTACACACGTTGTCACAAGCGAATATGAAGAAAATTGCGGTAAAAAGCTACCACCAAATTGTAAACAACGAACAAATGCAAACAAATCGCATATGTCAAAATCGCCTACTTTTTTCCTAAACGCAATTATAACGGGCTACTGTTTTGATGGCGTGATCTTGTATTTTTGGTTCATGCGTAGCCCTACTTAGGGATGTCGAAAAAACATCGATGCATAGAAATGCCCGTCAGAGAGGATTTCTGAGAATAAGTTTTGTGTGACGTCACACTGGTGCATTTGCGAGAGAAATGCCAAAACGCAAGCAAGAATGGAAGTAGAAAAAAATTTTCAAGTAAAACGTAAACAAGTTGCACATGTGTGACGTCATACAAACAGCGATTCTGTCAAATTCACCGAGGGCGGAATAGCGGTACAGAGATGGGCGCCACCTTTGTTCTCTACATCGTGCTTTGTCTGAACTTCATAGATAGGAAGATGCAGTTTTATAGCTTATAAAATGTTAGTTTCAATTGCTTTGAGTTTTAATGGCCCGTAGTCATAGTCAAAGTAAAGTCGACTTTAAAGTTAGTTGCAGCTTTTTTGACAGATATCCCATTGAAAATTATGTCAAAAAGCTGCAACTAACTTTAAAGTCGACTTTATTTTGACTATGACTACGGGCCAATATTTTTTCTTTGGCTGACTTGCACTGTTATAATAAAATTTTATGAGCTATAAAACTACATAGCCAAAAAGGTTCTTATGGTTTTATTCCCATAAAGCGAAGCGCACATTAGCGCGATTCCATCGTTGCGAATACGTTGCGAATTCGGCTGTTAACTTCGAATCCGCAAACGTGCGCACACTTGAGCGATTTTTTCGCGTCGATTTCCGATGTACAATTCNCAGAACGTTGGCATTGAAAAATCGACCCGTGGTAATGATATGCGATTGTAAAACACTTTCAATCATGAAAACCATATTTTATGAACTTTTTTTGCTAATTGTCATCAAGTTTCACTTTGTATATTTTATAATAAATACCAATTTAATCGCACTCAATCACCGCGCCTTTTTCGTTTTCTTTGTTTGTTTTCATTCTTAGGCAGATGTCAAAAACACTCAGAAATATACTTTTTTCTTGCTTCTTTGATTAGGTGATCTTGTATTTTTGGTTCATGGGTAGCATTGTTGTAATTTTTGGGCTTGCGGATTCGCAACGACAGAATCGCGCCAATGTGCGCTTCGCTTAATGGAGGAAAACTCTTTGTGTATCGATGCTATGAAAAACATCGATGTATTTTTGCCACTGACATACCTAGCCCCACTTGCGATAGGGCTGTTTCACACTAGAATGGCAACAATTATTCTCACGCCCTCACGCTGGATGAAAAAGGCCGAAATACAATAGCGCAGGAACAGTGACAGTGCCGGTTCTTAAAATCAGCTGTTACTGCTAATATTGGCAGTCACTGTCGCAGCAAATACAATACGGGGTTGTCAGTGACACCTTTTTTTGGCATTCCCCTTTGTTTACATTTCGTTGTTGTATTTTAGGCTTCAGTGACATGAACAGAAGTTGGCTGCATTTTATTTATGTCAAATTCAGCATGCGAAGTTTGCTGCGATGAAGGCAGTGGCAGTGAATTTAGAATTTGGGCTAAACTGAGCAGTACTACCAGCTGCCACTGTTGTATTGTGAGTCTTGTGTGTATTGTGTGACTTTTGCGCTTGAAAGTTGCGTAGCGGCATTTTCGTAAATGCGCATCTGTTGGTGCGCTGCAGCATAACTGCCATTTCGATGCGGGGTAGAAGCTGGAACAACTTTTTGAGAAACGTTACCTCATGGCACTGCCTCTCTTGCATACAAACTAGGTTCTTTCCCTAACAATCCGGACCGCATCCGGATAGAGAATAAGCTAAAATTTTGCTCAAAAGTGGAACATAGTCCAGAAGTACGGGAACCCAAAAAACCACATTTCGCGTCTGATTCGCGTTGTTTTTGTTTTTGTCACTTCAATGCAATAACTTGGAAATAGAATTTTGATTTCACAAATTTGATTTTAAGTACAGCTGATATGCACTTTGACACTTTATCCATTTTTACCCGGGGAAAAAGTCCGGGCTGATTCGAGCAGGAAGAATAAGACACTTACAATTCAATACGATGCAATTTTCGCTATCTATTATCCATTTTGTTGAGTACGGGAATGATTTCTGGACTGTTTCCGGCACCCGCGGGATCCCGCGTTGCGTACGGGAAAGAATCTACTGAGTTGTTCTCATGGCAAAAATGTTCCAGTGTGAAACCGACCATACAGCGGATCAACAGTGTTGCCGCTCCTTTGTGAAAGATGAGTTGGAGAATGATTTTGGATGCAGTGCAGAACAATATCTGACATTTAGCGCAATAAAATGCATTCCTTTAGTGCTAGAAAAACGGGTTTTCTTGCACTAGAGTACTCTAGTGCATTCATCGTACAGAGCTATTATATTGACTGCCAAACCTAAATAAAAGCGTTGGACTCAACGTTTTCAGACGCCTAGCGGTAACGCCGTAGTGTCATATCTAGACAAAAGCGGCAACGCTATGTCAAACGAAGAAATAACACCAACAATAAGCACATGTTTGTTTGTGTGAACTACTAAAATGAAAGTTTCGCCGTTTTCTGCAGCCAAGTTCACTTCCTAACGCGCTGTCAAAATCGCGTTTTATAACCGCTAACTGCCGTCCCTAATTAAGCGCCAAACAACTGTCAAAACAATCCTCATGCCAGTACAATTTGTTTGGAGCTTTCCACAATAACGCGGCGCTAGCGCCGAGCAAAGGGAGTTTTCATTTTTGACAGGACAAAGGAGTGAAAGTGGAAACGAGAATAAAAACAAGAGGAAAAGAGAAGACGTTATAAATTACGCCGCGTTAATTTGGCGATAGCGCACAGTGACACTCGTTTACAATGGAGAACGCAACGCTTAGCGCTTCAATTTAGGGACGGCAGTAAGCATTGACGCCGCGTTATTTCGGTATGCTTCCTACAAATTGTATGGGTATGAGAATTTTTTGACTGCCAGAGAACGCTGACACTTTGGTTTAGGTATGAATCAATACAAATTTATAAAAGGTGGTGTTACTGGCGAATATAGATATTCGCCGCGGTCCTTCTGAGTGTCAAAATGATGTGTTTTTTTGTAAACAAAGTGAGCTCATATTCCTTCTGAGTGTCAAAATGATGTGTTTTTTGTAATTAAAGCGAGCTCATATTACAGCAAACACATCATTTTGACATTCAAAAGGACCGCGGCGAAAATCTATATTCGCCAGTAACACCACCTTTTAAAAATTTGCATTAGGTATGGATGGTAGGGCCTTTCCCGCACTCAACGTAGGAGCCCGAAACAGGCCGGACCGGTGAAAATGGATAACGTGTAAAAATGGATAAAGTGTAAGAAGTCCATATAAATTTCATTGGATTCTGCTGAAAAGCCGGCAGAAATTTTTATGAATCAGCTGTTCAAAACGAAAATGGAAAAATTTGGCAAGTTTCTGTTAATTCCTTTTAATAAAATCAATCAATCGTTATCAAAACACATTTAAATATTGCAGAATGTAAGTATTTGTGCATGCATTTGACGTATGTGTGTGTATACAGTGGTTGCAAATTTTGCTAGTTTGCGTTTCTTTACTTTTTCCTCTTTCGCTCTCTTTGTGCGTAAATTTATACTCATCCAATTTGCTATCAACCGTTGTAAAAAGTTAAGAAACACGCCTGTGGTTCTTTTGAGTTCCCGTAATGAACGAAGAAGAAATCAGCTGATCTAATAACACCACCTTGTATGAATACGCTTTGGCTGTTCTAGTGAAATTTTTAGACCAATCGTAAACAACTGTTGCTTAGCAACAATAAACAAAACATTTAGAGCAAAACAGAACTAGAAAGTAATAGTGGACTTATTTTAAGTGCAAATTTCTAAAAAATAAACATTTAAATGATGGATTGGGCAGAAGAACTAAAACTATCCATCCGCAAGGTATGTACAATGAATGTAGTAGAAAACAGGTTTGAAGAATGTATGTATGTCGCAAATAGAAAACGGCACGGAAGGGACGTCGCTCCAAAAGCCGTGATCCAATTGGCGGTGCTTCCACCAGCATCAATGTGACCAATCCGAATGAGAAAGAGATTGCTATCGATATAACATTAGGCATGCACAAGGATACCAGCACTGCTGCAAGCGAAGAAGCCGATACCTCGAAACGCCCACCAGTGCGACGTATTTCGGGCGGTTGGGCTGATGTTGGCATACTAAAAAGTACAAAGTAAGTTTGGGATTGTAAATAAGACGGTTTTGTTTCATTTATATGCATATGCATGTTTAAACTATTTTCAGATCTAAAAAAGGCGCTTCATTTGATGAGTGAGTGTAGCCAAAAATATAGATTTTTTGATTATACCTATTTGCTTAAATTTTATATTATTTTTATTTATTA